GCGGCTTGGATCCCCCCCGCGGCCGACTCCCCCAGGCATGGTCGGACTCCTGACAGTCCGACCATGGCCAGGGAAGCCGACCGCGGGGAAGGGGAATCCCGGCGGTGGCCTCTGAAGGACCCTTCAGAAGGGTCCTTCCGAGGCCACCGCAGGCATTTTCCCCCAGCTGAGCTGCGGGAGCGCTCCTTGGGAGGCTCCCGCCGCTCAGCTGGGGGAAAATGGTGCCTATGGGGGAAACATCGCAAAGCGATGTTTCCCCATAGGCACCTTCGTTATACGATCGCAAAAGCGATGGCATTTTTGCCATCGCTATGCGAATTCGTCGTTAAACAGGGCACTCGTTATACGAGGCACCACTGTATCTCAAGTAGTGGCAGTGATCTGCTAGACCCAATAATAGTTGTCTTAACTGGAGAGATTTTTGTGAAAATCTGTTTCGAGAAAATGCTCCCTCCACTCAGATTATTATTTTTAACCCTTCTATAGACAAAACTGAGGGACATATTGATTATGAAGACAATTTTCCTGATGATCGATCTATGTCCACTCAAGAACATGAACATAATGCCCAAGAGACAGAGAAAAGAGGAAATGAGCCAGAGAAAGCCACAGATGACAACACCAAAACTCAGTTTGTTGATGGTGATAATCATATTGATGTCAAAAGCATGTCAAATGAGCAGGCCATCAAAATGATATATGAAGGAGAAGAAATGCCCATTGGACCTATCATTGTGAACAATGATACAAAAGCAGCAAAACATACAGATTCTAATACAGACGAGTCTTGGCTAGATGGTTATCCTGTTACTCAAGAAGCAGTGGAAGGAGATGTAGTTGATGAAGGGAGCAAAATGGATGGATCTGTAGAGATACAAGATGAAATTGTAACTGACCAACCAAACTATGTCGGAGTTAGAAAAACAAAGGGCAGAAGCATGGAAAAAGATTTACTACAAACTGAGGCAGTCCCTCTACCGACAGCTGATAATGGGATCAAAGGAGTACTTGTGACCCTACAGCCAACAAGCGGCCCAGTAAGTGTAAGCAAAGGCTCTAATGATGTCACCAGTTATGCCCCAATGACACCTATGAGATTTGTTACTCGAGAACTGATCTCAGTAACCATAGTCACTGACTTGAACCTGGCCACCCTTGAGACTTCTACAGTACTTTATTTTACTGATCACATCCCATTGCCAGAAATTATGACTTCCCCAATGCAAGCAGTTACTACTGTTCCTTCTCAAAATTTATTTACTGATGTGCCAATGGATGCTGAGAGAGAAGCTCTTACCTTCGGACTAAGTGGAAAGCTCTTGACCACTTTCGAGCCATGTGTAGGGGTTGATTGTTCCAGTTCAGACACAGCCCCCATGGTTGCCATTGGGGTGATTGTGGTGGGCTTGATTTTACTTGCTTCAGTCTTGGCAGTGTGGTGTTTCAAGAAATGGCAACAGAAGACATCTGTTTATAAACTGAATGGGCAAGATCATACTAGGCACCAGCTGCAACAGATTGAAATGCAGAAAGTCTAACATGGTAAGTCTGTGAGAGAGTGGAAGAAACTGAATGACCAATCAATGTCAATGTCAATTTGTTCAGAAGACAAGAAAACATGTCTGCAGATCAGCAGGACTTGCAGCCATCTAAAATTGCAACATATAGGTATCAGTATTAATCTAATTAATTGCATATATCTTTAACTACCCATCTTGCAGAAGACTTTATGGCTGATTCACAGAACTATTTTTAAATCACACAATAATTGCGTGACTATGACATGGTGGCCTGGTTTTCTGAAATACGTCATCTATGACCATAATCATGTCTGGAGCTTTATTTTGTGTATATAGTGGCCATTCTGACTGCAACCTATGGAGCACATGGAGAAAATTTGAACAATTACATGTGCCATTTTAAAAATTAGGATAAACTGATGTAGACAGTTATTATTTGTCATGCTCTACAGAGTGCTGAAGGTGCAAACCAGTAATTGTTGCTCTCCCACTGCCCATGTTTATTTCAATGGACTGCTATTGAAGCAGCTCTCTTCTTCAGTGAATACCTTGGTGGACAGAGAGATGTTCTCCATGAACTTAGCATCATCTGTTAATTAGAATCATGGCATCATTGGACAATCTGTTTTTTTTAAAAAAATTTTTATCTAGGAAGATGCAACTTTTTACATTTGGGTGAGACTGTATATAAGAGAAGTTCTCCTGTGAAAAGGCATCAAGAAGTGATATCCTACGAAGCTTCATTAGTCTTTACAAATCACCCAACATTGTCAATATTCTTCTAAAGCCTAAGGGCCCAATAGAAGTAATCTCTTAAGAAGAGAGCAAACCACCGTGTAACACTTGGCCTGTATTGCCATTAAAAGCTATTTAGTCTTTTTCTAACACAATGCTATCTCTGGGCTGGAATGATCCAGAATGAGCCATACTCCAAGCAGAACCACTGAAATCAAGTAGAATGAGTATTATTATGTTCCATTGATTTCTATGGGTCTACTTTCAGAATGAATAAATCTATATTCTTAGTAATCTAACTGGATAATGCCCAATTACTTATGCAGCTAATAAAATCATTTAGAAGTGTATCAATCACCTCACAGTACAGATTAGCTAAAGTGGATGTTTCTATTATTAGATTAACTCAGGGTTGATTTATAGTGGACAAAATCTCATGTAGGCAAGATGTTGATAAAAATCCCACATTAAGAAAGACTATTGATGGGTTTTGAAGTCACATAGCATGCCTACAGCAATGATCATCTTCATACATATTAGCCTGTATCACAACTTAACAGTTATGTCTCTGTACTACTCCGACATGAGTAAAACACTTGTAAAATGCACTAGATGAGAGATAGGGCACTCTTTCAGAACCATATTATTCTTGCCTAATGATATGCAGTGCAGCATGCAGCTGCTCATACATCAACACATATATGGTATGGATGTGCTATTTGTGTTCTTTAGACTTGTAGATCTTCAGTTGGCACCCTTTATAAATCCTAAAAAGCAGTGGGACTACAATTCCATGAAAGCACTGTGGCAGCTTCCTTTTTTTGTAAATTAACAAGAAGCAAGCCTGTGGCAGCCATGAAGCTTTAGAGATAGGTCCCTGGTCAATATGAGTGAAATGTAGGTGTCTGTAGGTTGGAACGCTAGCTGGTAAATTCCTGGAGAATTCCGGAGTTAGATTCCAAAAAACACAAATGGTACGCTTCTAATGTATGGTACCACACATTTTGCATGAATACAAATACTGTACAAAACAAACACATTTTAAGCATATTAAATTGCAAATTTAGCCACTTTACAAAACATGTGACTTTTAAAGTGCATATCTACTACTAGAATGGGAGACTTTCCAGCACAATCTTTAAATAAAATTAATACAGTCAAAAATAAGAGTTTGTCAAATATCTATTCAACCATTCTACTGTCCTGTACTGAACTTCTATTTCATAGCTAAACTAGGCTGCAGTTATGTGCTGTGGCTTTGTCATGGAAGGAATTGTCAAAAGCACTTTCTTGAAAGAAAAAGAGTCATTTGGTTCATCATCAGCCAAGGTCAAAGAGAAGTGAACATGTAGTTTTTCCCAGAGAAACGTCTCCTTTGAAGTGCACAGGCCAGTGCAGCATGGTTTTGGGTATACACAGATTTTTCGCCCAATGAATAAATGGATGGATAAACAAACAAACAAATAAATAAATACTGTGCCCCTGGCCTCCTAGAACCAGGGGCATGAGTTGAACGACGAAAGTGTTGAAGTGGTCTACTTGCCCCCAACACAACATCTCTATTTCAGCCTCTAAATCGGGGTCAAAAGGGCCTTTAAGGATGAGTCATTACACACAGTACTGTGTGGAAAAGATTGTCAACACTATGGAAGAGTACCGTGATAGAGAGAATTGTTCTCTGTGTGTATGGGTTAATCGACTATAGTACCTCTTTATAGCTATGTTTTGAGAGGCACAAGAGTTATACACAGATATTGAACTACACGGGGCTCCAGCTCCCCTAACGCCTGCGTTGTTGAACAGAGAAGTGTTTATTTTGCCAAAAGAAGGTATCAGATACAATACAGTGAAATTTGTGACCTGATAAAAAAATCACATTCCCTTTGTCCCAACTTTTTATACCCTTATCCTGGGCAAGAAACCCCCACATCTTCCAACTGATCAGTTAAGTTTGTGTCTTTGACCAAATAAGGTGAATTCCTCATTTCTATAGTAGACATTTTTGATATTATACAGTATACAATTTCATTATTAGTCCAGTTGACGAGATTGCCCAGGTGGAGGCCGTTGGTAAGGAAATTGATGGCGGCACAAGCATTTGCAGCGGCTAGGCACTCCATAGATCGGTATCTTTGATTTGAATTGTATTTGAGATTTTTCCGTTCAAATTTTGGGAGGTCTATAAGTCACATATTGTTGTTGCTGTTTAGTCGTTAAGTTATGTCCGACTCTTCTTGACCCCATGGACCAGAGCACGTCAGGCCCTCCTGTTTTCCACTGCCTCCTGGAGTTGGGTCCAATTCATGTTGGTAGCTTCGGTGACACTGTCCATCCATCTCATCCTCTGTCGTTCCCCTCTCCTCTTGCCTTCACATTTTCCCAACATCAGGGTCTTTTCCAGGGAGTCTTCTCTTTTCATGAGATGGCCAAAGTATTAGAGCCTCAGCTTCAGGTTCTGTCCTTCCAGTGAGCACTCAGGGTTGATTTCCTTCAGAATGGATAGGTTTGTTGTCCTTGCAGTCCAGGGGACTCTCAAGAGTCTCCTCCAGCACCACAATTCAAAAGCATCAATTTTTCAGCGGCCAGCCTTTATGGTCCAGCTCTCACTTCCATACATCGCTACTGGAAAAACCATAGCTTTGACTCTGTGGACCTTTGTTGGCAAGGTGATGTCTCTGCTTTTTAAGATGCTGTCTAGGTTTGTCATCACTTTAATCCCAAGACGCAGGTGTATTTTAATTTTGTGGCTGCTATTCCCAGCCGCAGTGATCATGGAGCCCAAGCAAGTAAAATCTGCCACTGCCTCCATATCTTCCCCTTCTATTTGCCAGGAGGTGATGGGGCCAGTGGCCATGATCTTAGGTAGTTTTTTGTGATTTTTTTTTGGATGTTGAGCTTCAGACCATTTTTGACGTTCTCCTCTTTCACCCTCATTAAAAGGTTCTTTAAGTCCACCTCACTTTCTGCCATCAGAGTGGTATCATCTGCATATCTAAGGTTATTGATATTTCTTCCGGCAATCTTAATTCCATTTTGGCATTGATCCATTCCTGCCTTTCCCATGATGTATTCTGCATATAAGTTAAATAAGCAGGGGGACAATATACAGCCTTGTCGTACTCTTTCCCAATTTTGAACCAATCAGTTGTTCCATATCCAGTTCTAACTCTTGCTTCCTGTCCGACATATAGGTTTCTCAGGGCTGCAACTCCCAGAAGCCTTCATCACCTCTGCTGACCAGGATTTCTGGGAGTTGAAGTCCAAGAACATCTGGAGGCCCAAGGTTGGGGACCTCTGCTTTATCATGTCCATCTTTGCACAAAATGTTCCTTTAATATCTCCAATTTTCTTGAACAGATCTCTGTTTTTCCCCTTTGTATTATTTTCCTCTATTTCTTTGCACTATTCATTTAAGAACGCCCTCTTGTCTCTCCTTACTATTCCTTGGAAGTCAGCATTCCATTTTCTGTAACTTTCCCTCTCTCCCTTGCATTTTGTTTCCCTTCTCTTCTCTGCTATTTGTAAGGCCTCATTGGACAGCGACTTTGCTTTCTTGCATTTCATTTTCTTTGGGATGGTTTTTGTTGCTGCCTCCTGTACAATGTTACGAGCCTCCATTCATAGTTCTGCAGGCATTCTGTTCAGCAAATCTAGTTCCAAATCTAAGTCACATATAGACATTTCCAAAGGCAATGGAAAGTAATCCAAAGCAATTCAAAATGTTGCTCAGCTCTAAGAGACCATAAGCATGATCAAACCTGTTTGAAAGTTTAAGTCTGCCCAAAAAGTCTGGTCAGGATTTCTTCCCAACAGCTTGGATCGAGCTTCTGCCTTCTTAATGATCCACTCAATTTTGGGAGATCCTTTTGCCATAATACCACAGTAAAAGAGCACTACCTGGTGTGATGAGATGGGTTTTTGAGTTAAAATCTTTTAAGGCATATGGGTTTTGTAATTAAGAAATAAGCCAGAGAGGTTCCATCTTGTTTCTTTGTATAAAGTATCTTTGCTATGCTGACAATTGTTTTCCAGACGAGCAGAGAGAATGTTATTCTTTTTCCAGGGAGTCTTTTCTTCTCATTAGATGGCCAAAGTACTGGAGCCTCAGCTTCAGGATCTGTCCTTCAAGTGAGCATTCAGGGTTGATTTCCTTTAGAACTGATAGGTTTGTTCTCCTTGCAGTCCAGGGGATTCTCAAGAGCCTCCTCCCGCACCACAATTCAAAGGCATCAATTCTTCGGCGGTCTGCTTTCTTTATGGTCCAGCTCTCACTTCCATACATCATGACAGGAAAAACCATAGCTTTGACTATTTGGACTTTTGTTGGCAAGGTGATGTCTCTGCTTTTCAAGATGCTGTCAAGATTTGTCATCGCTTTCCTCCCAAGAAGAAGGCGCCTTTTAATTTCAGGGCTGCTGTCTCCATCTGCAGTGATCATGGAGCCCAGGAAGATAAAATTTGACACTGCCTCCATATCTTCCCCTTCTATTTCCCAGGAGGTGATGGGACCAGTGGCCATGATCTTAGTTTTTTTGATGTTGAGTTTCAGACCATTTTTTGCACTCTCCTCTTTCACTCTCATTACAAGGTTCTTTAATTCCTCCTCACTTTCTGCCATCAGAGTAGTATCATCTGCATATCGGAGGTTGTTGATATTTCTTCCGGCAATCTTAATTCCGGCTTGGGTTTCTTCCAGTCCAGCCTTCCGCATGATGTATTCTGCATATAAGTTAAATAAGCTGGGGGACAATATACAGCCTTGCCGTACTCCTTTCCCAATTTTGAACCACTCAGTTGTTCCATGACCAGTTCTAACTGTTGCTTCCTGTCCCACATATAGGTTTCTCAGGAGACAGATAAAGTGGTCAGGCACTCCCATTTCTTTAAGAACTTGCCATAGTCTGCTGTGGTCCACACAGTCAAAGGCTTTCGCATAGTCAATGAAGCAGAAGTAGATATTTTTCTGGAACTCTCTGGCTTTCTCCATAATCCAGCGCAAGTTAGCAATTTGGTCTCGAGTTCCTCTGCCTCTTCGGAATCCAGCTTGTACTTCTGGGAGTTCTCGGTCCACATACTGCTGAAGCCTACCTTGCAGGATTTTGAGCATAACCTTGCTAGCGTGCGAAATGAGTGCAATTGTACGGTAGTTGGAGCATTCTTTGGCACTGCCTTTCTTTGGGATTGGGATGTAGACTGATCTTTTCCAATCCTCTGGCCACTGTTGAGTTTTCCAAACTTGCTGGCATATTGAATGTAGCACCTTAACAGCATCATCTTTCAAGATTTTAAATAGTTCAACTGGAATGCCATCACCTCCACTGGCCTTGTTGTTAGCCAGGCTTTCTAAGGCCCACTTGACTTCACTCTCCAGGATGTCTGGCTCAAGGTCAGCAACTACATTGTCTGCATTGTCCGGGATATCCAAATCTTTCCGATATAATTCCTCTGTGTATTCTTGCCACCTCGTCTTGACGTCTTCTGCTTCTGTTAGGTCCCTCCCATTTTTGTCTTTTATCATGTTCATCTTTGCGCAAAATTTACCACAGCCTGAAGATTTAACACCTCTCACCACAGCCTTTAGATCTAACTGCTGGCAAACAGTGTTTCCTAGGAAGCTACTGTTTACACCCAGGGAAGCACCTAGCTCCTTGAAGCCTCAGTGTCCCACTGCAATCAAAACTTAGCTTGTGGATCAGAGTCACTCAAGCTGTTAGATAGAACAAAATTGGTCATCCTGAGGTACTACAAAACCTAGCACGTGGTCCATCGCGCAGCTGCCACCATGCCGCGAACACGGGTTCGAAAACACACGTGTAAGCTTGGACAGAGAGCAATCAGGAGTTTGCACATGCTAAAATGAGCTGGCACTCCTCCCCAGGGCTGCTTTTGCCATAATACCACAGTAAAAGAGCACTACCTGGTTTTAGGGGTTTCAAACAAAAAGGAAAACTGTGGCATAACATTCAATTCTGCATCAGCCAGAATATTGAGTTGGCAATAGTTACCGTAAGTATATATTTGAGGTTATTTGACTAGGAGGGGTGTGCCATTCAGATTTCCCAGAAGTCTCTGGGTAGTTCCAGCCCACAGACAGACACCAACATTTCACTTGTCTACAACAGGACCTATCTTGGAGACTTTCAAGGCCTGTGTTTCCTCTTGTTAATGTACAAAAATATAAATTGTCCTTGTGCTTTCTGGGAAGCTTAGGTCTTCATGGGAGGTCTAG